TATTCTTTTTAAGGGCTCCCCCTTACCGGGGGGGGGGGGGCTGTCAAGCTGAGCTCCTACTTGCTGAGAAAGGGCATTAACAAGTCCCCACCCAATTTTAGAATGAGGATGTGAAAGGAAAATTTAATAAGTAACACTCTTTGCTCTTACTGTGGTTGTTCCTTTCTTTTAAAGGCTGCGGCTTTGTTTCTATTCGATGCTGGCCTGTGCTGCTGTTTCTATAATCCCTCACAGGTCTCCGAATGAGCCTACCTTTATAGGCATGGGGGAAACCAAAAGTGAAAATGAAAAGCTTCCTCTTGATATACACTTTCTGTACAAACAAGTAGGAGTGAACAAAAAGCTTTTCTAGAATCCACACTTATCTGCCTTGCAATGGCTGCCTCCCACAGCCACTCCCGCAAGGGCACCCAGGATTCCAGATACCTTCAACAGCTGGAACCAAGACTTCTACCCTCTCTCCTATCACAGCTGTTTTTCTCTAATAAACACAAGTTTTCTGATGTTCTCAGAAAGACGTGTGGGTATGATTTCTTTATGAAAAGGGCAGGAGTGCACAGATAATTCTTCCATGTGTCCAGCTCAGAAGTTAATACTGCTTCTGTACCACTGTGTGCTTACTCTCCAACACGTCTCTGTTTTCTGCTCTCAGAGGAGAAGCAGAGTTCTTTCTCCCATGGAGAGGAGACGTTTGTCCCCTGCAGGTGCCCAAGTTCTGTCCTAACTGCACAGAGGCCAATTTTGCTTTGGTGTGCTCCTTGGGGATGAAGAGCTTTTCGTCTCAGTGACTAGTGACACAAGGGAATGTTGTTGCCCTCACTACTGCCCTGTGGTATAGTGATAAACTTGGAAATGTGGATGCTCCCCTCAAAAGGCAGCCCTGCCCAAAAGAAAAGTCCCAAAATGCAGGCAGCTGCACTGGTGTACATCAACAAAGCATGGGTAGGTCTTTTGTAAAATTAATGGCTCTTATTTGCCCTTTCAACTCCAAAATGCACTCATCTACTTCACATTAAAACCGGGATTGTTCCTGAGAATTTTTTTTCTCTCTTCCACTACTGTGAGGATTGTAACCAAATTCAGAGGGAAAAGGATTTTTTTAAATAATATTTTTTTATTTTCCTTATAAGGGTAGGATAAGGTAAGGGACAACTGGGATGGGGGTACCCTCGGAGGGGGTGGATTTGAACGGATATATTACAGATCAATATTTTTCATAGTAGTTCTGTACATTCTCTTCTAGTAATAGTTCCACATATCAGAAAGATATATAAACAGTGAGTGAGAGGGAAAAATTAAATTCAAACAGATATATTGTTCTTCTAATCATTGATTATGTAGCTGAGAGTCTTTATCCATTCTCATACATTTTCCTTTTGTTTCTTATTTCCTAAGGCATATGTTTCAATGTCTTCAGATTCAGAGGGAAGAGGATTGACTGGGAAAGGAGAGGTAGGTGATGTCTCCATCCCTTCCTCTCAGAAAGGCCTGGGACTTCGACCCTACAAGTCCTGACTCCACTACACCATTTCATCTGCCATGACAGAGGGGCTCATTGTTGGAAAATGACCACCTGGAGGCCAACCTGTAAAGAAGTGAAAACGTTTTGCCAAACAAAGTTGTAGGAAATCCTTTCCTCCTTTCTATATGACCGTTGCATTACTCTGATGTCATTTGAGGGGAGGCTAGCATTTGAAAAACAAGTCACTGGCTGAAGAACATAAATATGTTCCAATTTTCTTACAATAAATTGCGAACTTGATCAACATTTTAAAATAAATTTTCAAATAATTAATAAACTACAGAATTTATTGGTGTTAATTAAATAAATAAATAATGTTAGAGTAAATGTAGAAGGAAAGCATTATGATTACCTATTGTATTTAACAACAAATTATAATGTAGTTCTGAAACTAAACATCTGCCGTTAGCTTATATAGTACAAAAGCATTTTTCCAGGTCCTCTATGTTCTCTTATCCTTAACAAAGCATATAAGGATTTTGACATTGCTTGCCTCAGTTAGTTCTTCATTACAGCCTTTGATGACATCAACTGAACAATTTATCTCAAGCCAAGTCTATTGTAGTGGCCCATATGAAGAATTAGCATATCTTATTTTTTTAAAAAATGTTACATCAATGGTATTTTACAGACTTTTCCTGAGTTGTGGAAGACAGTTTTGAAGGAACATCTGCTTAATTATTTCTTATCAGCAGGTTTTAACGTTTCTAGCCAGATGTCTTGGTATCTTTACCTAGGGAAGTATTTCAACTTTCTATTTTTATATTGTCTATTTAAGCAAACACTGGTTTTACTAGGCACAGTACATCTGCCAAGATACTTATGCTGTCACCTAGGGTTCCATTCAGGTAATAGCAGTGAGTTGGACAGAGTATTTTAAAAAACACACTAGTTTTACTGGTTCATGAATGATCTGGCCATTTTTCATTAATCACAGCTTCTGGACACTTTTCAGAAGCAGCCCAACATTAGAGGGCACCACATCACACAAATCGGAATATAAGATGTAAATCAACACACACACCACTTGTCTAGTAACATAATGAACTTGGAGATCTCTCACTCGTGTGCCCTTATAGACTAATCTAAATATTCATGTACTAGGTGTGCAGTTCTTTTAATTAGATACAAGTCTTTCACAGTAGCCTCATTCCATTGTTCTGAAGCCTGCAAGCATCTGCGCAGGAAGAAAGTAGCCCACCATCTCCCTCCTTGCATTGTTATTGCGAGCAATTATGTGTCTGAAGAGGAGGGTCCTGCTCATATATAGATTTCACGCAGGAACAAGAATCAAGCTCTTCCAGCGCTCTTGCCCATATGTAAAATCTAACATGGAAGCAGGAATCTCTCCAGATTCACCATTGCTGAAATGACTGCAACATGCAAGGGGAGCAGGGGTCTAGGATAGATTGTCTTCATAAACAGAATTGGGAAAATTCACTAATTTGAACTTCAACTGCTGGGTAGCAATGACCCATAGGGTCTGCAGTTCTAAGATTATCATCATCATTAACTCCTAAAATCCCCCTTGCATTGTAGACATTGACCATCTCAGCAGAGGAATTCAGGGAGTAACAGTCCAAAAAGATAGTATTTCAAAGCTGTGTTTATAATATTAGCAGAAACTGCAAAATGGCACTAACATGATTATAGAACGACATCGTCACCAAGGACAGTCAGTTTAGACAACTTTGGTCCCTGTGACTGGGTTCTTGTTTTAAGTCTAGGAGCTCCTCTCCTTTGACACCATTAACCACAGGAAACATGACATTATTAAGAGAACTTTAACTATTGGTAGAAGGGGACTGGGTGTACAATAACTTCTGTGGGTCCAACGAAACTGTTTACCACAGATGAACGTGAGGCCCCCAAATTGGAGGCCTTAGTGGGAGTGCCGTCGCTCTCGAAGAGAACCCTTCACACACAAACATCCCCACCTCCGTCCCCAACGC